TGATTACAAGTAATTGATTACTGTAATCAAAATTGTAATCATGATTACAGCTGTAATCAAAATTTTTTGAAAGTTGTAATCACGATTACAAGTAATTGATTACTTGTAATCGTGATTACAAGTAATTGATTACATAGCTGTAATTATCTGTAATTAATTACAGTTGTAATCGATTACTGTAATCAACGGCCAACTCTGATATACTATACCATTAACTTTTGTGTCTGGTCTACTAGTGACATGTCAGAAAGAATATAAAAGCTTTCCCTAATTAGATTTTCATAATGCTTTACATATAACATCACTGTGGGTAAAATGCATCAATCATGGGTCCAATGATTGCTTTCTGCCCAATCTTTAAGTATAAAATTAATATTTTACAGCATTTTTATATATTTCATACTGATATAGGAGATACTCTTCATATATGAAGTGTATAATTGAGTTTTCAATTATAATATAAATTGTTTTTCCAGTAAAAATAAATTTTAGTTATTAAGATTTGAAACCCCTTGTATTTTGTTGAATATTTAACTAGATAAATCAACTTTTAAATAATGTAACTTATTTTAAGGCAGACTTTTTTTTCAGCATATTTTGCACAATATTATTTTAATTTGTAATAAATGGCACTTAGGCCAGTTAAGGCATGCATGTCTAGTTTAAATAAAGATTAAATCAGAATGCTACAAAGAATCCATCACATTCAAACCAGTATTCTTACATGATGTTCTTGTAAAGTGAATTGGTAAATTAATGACACTCTTTCTTTGACAGCTCTAGGTATGCAGCACAATTTTAGTTCATTTTATGTGACATATTTGCAGCTACTCTGAGTATCAAGTATATGGTTTTTTCAATGTATTTCTTCTTATCAGTCATTGTTAGTTATTTTTCCAAGATTTTTATTAATAATAAATTCTGTTTAGATCTTTTTAAATCACAAATGATTGGGGAGTTAAATTTGGGTCCATCGTACTTTATGAAAATATAAAATTAATGATAATTATTAGTGTTTTTTTTTATTCTAAATTTTACTGTTTTCCTTAAATTATTCAATTATATTCATTTGTATTCATTTTTAGACAACCTCCAATGCCTCTTTTTCTTGGATCTGAAGACAAAGACTATCGTAAATTGCCCATAGCAGTCGATCAATCCAAACGTCCTAGTGAAATCTTACATCAAACTGACAATAAAAGTAATGTATCAATTATATAATAGTGAAATATATTTATATATATTATTTAAAACTGATTTTATAAATATTTTTCTCAGTATGGCTTTGTCTTTTTGATTAAAACGGGAAAAAAATACCCAATTTTATGTTTATGGCTTAGTTGAAGAATTAATTTACAAAGTAGTTTTTACAGGTTCATGTTAATTAAGTAAAAAATGTATTAGTGCCAACTCTACATTAAGTAGTGGAAAAATCTAAATTAAATGCATTATTTTTTTAAAATATTTTAAATAATAAATTGAACAACAAGTTCTATCGTAAAATCGTAGTTCTGTCATTTTTACTTTGCTAATTTTTTTCATATGTTTTATTTGTAGATTCATCAACTCCTATTCATCAAAATATTAATTTGCCTTCCAAAGAAATGCCAAAGTTAGTATAAACATCAAGCATATGCTTTTTTTTTTCTTTCTTTTTTTTTTGTGATATTGATTTTTAGTAATTATTTATTCCAGTGATATTAGAGAAAAACTTCATGTGCCAGCAGAGCAAATCAATACAACCCACAAAGTATCTGAATTTCATCCTACACCACTGCATCCTCCTGATCCAGTTAATAAATCTATTACAAGTTTTCAGGTTAGTTATGTCCTCATATGGTTAAGCCCTCATCCAAATTTTAATAAAAATCAGTGTGTAGTGGGGGTATAAAAGGTAGAAAGGAAAAATGTAATTTTTTTAAGAAAATGCATCATTTTTAATAAAGCGGAAATATTACTTGATTTAATTAAATAAATAAGTTGTGTTTTAAATAATTTACTTTTTATATTTATTCTATTTTTTTCTTGTTCTTTTCCCTTCAAATTATTGTGATTGCATTGGCAAAAGCAATTAGTGAGTAAGTGAAAAAAAAAATCCTTTATAAAGAATAAATACAAAGAACAAAAGATTTAATGTATTTTTTAACAAGCATTTTTAAATAGAATCAAAAGTCTTAAAATGACGCACCTGAAAATACGCAGATAATTACAATGTTTGATTTTAAAATCACTTGATATGAATCACAATGTTCAATTTTAAAATTGTCTAAATGGGAATCGTGATATTGAATTTCATAGACCAGGGAATATGAATTGCGATATTGAATTTTATAGACTAGGGAATATTAATTGCAATATTGAATTTTATAGACTAGGCCAGGGATGGCGAACCAATGGCACATGTCACAAAAATTTGGGCACTCCACCGATCACAATTGCTTTTACACTATGAATTGTTATTACGCAAACGGTATTACGCTATGAAGCATATGTAGCAATTAAATTGAAATTCACAAACAAAATAATAAACAACTATTGAATAAAAAATTTAAAAATTAATACTAAAAAAACAATCAATAACCGTAAAAAACAAGCTAACAATAAATGAATAGCAAAAAAAATCAACAGTCCTGCTTAAAGTAACATCTTACAACCTAATATAAGTTATTGGTCATCTAATCTGCAACAACAGAAGTCACACTGATGATACTTTAAGTTGAATTACGTGTATAACTGAGACATTGCAATATATATATATTTTTTTTTCAATGTAAATAAAGAGTTTTGAGTTGATAGTATTTAATATTATTATTTTCCCAATAATCACGAAGTCAAAATTATTTGAGGGTGCGTCTATGACCTAATTAAGCAATTTTTTAGGGAAAATGTCACGGTGTATAAAGGTTCGCCACCCCTGGACTAGGGAATATGAATTGCAATATTGAATTTTATAGACTATGAAATATGAATCGCGATACATATCAGATTGTAAAGACGCTTGAGTATGAATTACGTCTCTTGATTTTTTAACTGTCTGCATACAGAGCAAAGTGTATAACTTTTTAATCGTGTAAGTCAATATTTCATTTAGAAACGAGTAAACATAAATCATGTTATTGGATTTTAAAAGCACATGAATACTAATTTCAACGTCGAGTTTATAAATCCTGTTAATTTTTAAAAAAGCTGATTATTTTACCTCATGAATACAAATTGCATTGTTATTTTCAAATTGCTGGGATTTGAATATCTATATTTGGTTTTTTTTAATTGTGTGAACACTCCTGTTAATTTAAAAAGTATATCCACAAAATTTATGAATTTCTATGGTTGTGTCAGCACACGATGTGCATGTATATCTTAACACTGGATGTGGGCTTATTCGATTTTGATTGCTCGTCAATATTTCTGTAAGGCTATGGGTGGGACTTGATTGAATGTTTGAGCTTGTTCCGTATTTTACGTTAATTTGTATTTTTTGTTGTTTTGTTTAAAATTCTAAAGTTTCTTTATTTCTTGTAGGATGTAATGAAACCTCCTTTAAATATTGATTCCTCTGTGGCTCGTAAGTTCAAATTAATTTTTTTTTCCATCTTGGAATTGTGTATCTTTTATCTTTTTTTGTTTTTGTTTTTTGTTTTGTTTAAAATGTATTTTTTTTTTTTACTCTAACTGCTCTATTCTGTGTGATTTTGTAGTAACTAAATCGTATTGTTTTTTTATGTAATTGCTCATTTTTTACTACACTTTTTTTAAAATCTCAGGCAAAAAGTCAAAATTTGTTGTAAAGAATTAAAATAATAATAGTTTTGAATCTAGTTAATGACGTAGACTTCATATATTAAATCTTCTAAGTCCCTTATACAGTGCCTGCATTTCACATTTGGTTCTATCTTACTTTCTTGCTATTTATAAAACTTTCTGGATTATTAAGTATTACAAATTTTTAGATTCTTGAAGCATTCGTATTTTTGCAATCTTTCTTCAATTCCCATTATGTCATCATAGAGCCAACACACATAAATGTTAAAACTTTTTGCTCCGTGGAGTATTTTTAGAACTACCTTTTTGTATAGTGAAACAAAAATATCTAAAAAATAGTTTTACAATAATATATAATCATTAATTGTTTCACGCAAAATTTCTTTATTTTTATTTTAATTTTAAGATCTGAATGTCTATGGGCTTAGACCAATGGGTTCTCAACCTTTCAGGCTCCTTGTCTCCCTTTGAATATTGGTGGAGGCTTCCAATTACCAACATATGCCATCATTGTAAATAGTTCAGTTAGAATTTAAAGCAGAAACTGGTTATTAAATAAAAGTATGGATAATTCAAACACAAAATTTTATACTGCCATACATATCTTAAATGTGAACATATGAAATCAAAAAATTAAGTAAGTATAGACCAATTATATTGGAGGTAATCTAGGGTCTATGTGAGGTTGGTGTGCAATTTGAGTAACTATCACTACATTAGTGAGTGAGTTGCTACTGTTTATCCTTGATAAATTTTTGAATATTAGGTTTGTAATATTTATTTTATCAAGCCTTTAGGTTGCGTTATTCAATAGTGATAGCCTGTCCGTTCAAATTATTAATTTTCCAGATTTTCCTTCTTTTATATATATTTATTAAACATAACGAGAGGAACACTAAACATAAACACAAATAAACATATAATTTTCCTGATTATGCATTATATATTCAAATCGGATTTTTCCGATTCCACGAGATGTTTATCTCGCCAGTACAAGTTTCATTCTGATTGAATTCTCCCTCGGTTAGGGAAGACGCAAAGTAGAAATCCCTTTTGTGGGGATTTAACCTTATTCGTGGCTTGAGTTGCCACAAGGTTATAGCTGGGACAAAGCACACTTCAGGTCACTTTTAATTTCCAAATTTAGTCAGTTATGGGATGAAAACTGAACTAATAACCTCAAAGCAACTTGTGAGTAAACCGAATAACAGTCAATTTATTATTATTATTTTTTTTTCTTTCTTCTGCAATGCTTAACTCTGTCTGGAAATTTTACGTTCCTAGGTACAGGTGAAAAACTCTTTTAGGCTCAGAGTTCTTCTTTTCCCATCCATTTGTAAACAAACTGAAATAACTGATTATGTAATAGAAATATATTAAACAGTAAAAAAATGATGCCTATGCTAAATAATGGACTCACCCAGGAATCTAATCTGGAAATAGGTTTTGACAAACATTTAGGTTTCCCTCAGTTTCACGTAATTCAATTTAATAGTTACTGCTTATATGAAGGGAAAAAAATTAACACTTTTGCAATAACCTGCTATAAGCCAGGGCAGTGGCCAGTTACCCACTAGGCCATGGCCCCCTTAAAATGGATTTTTTGAAAATAAATTTTAAAAAAATTAAGAAAAACAATGATTTTTTTAAAAAAAATCAATTTCAAATATTTAATTAATACAATAATTTTTTTACATAATGTTAATCATATTTATTTATTACTTATTTTAGTTATTATTTATAAGTATTATTATATGTATTATAAGATTTATCAATGTTTTTTAAGTTCAAATTTGTCATTTTGATTTGCGTGCAAAAAAAGTTGAACTAATTTAACAAAATAAAGTTAAAAAATGTACGAGAAAAAAAAAGTTAATCTAAGGGCCCCAAAAATTTTAATGGCCTAGGGCCCCGCGTATGCTTAATATGGCACTGAGCCAGGGGATCATGAAGGTTAAAGCTCCGCTATTTTGTGACCTACCATTTAGTTGAAAAGATTCAATATCCTCCAAGGTTTGCAAATAAAGCTTTTTACTGATTGCAACAATTCATTAAATCATTACTACTATCAGCAAATGCAACATGTTAACCATATAAGACATTAATAGATCAATACTTATTAAATTTGAAGAAAATAAAATAGCTGTTTTCAAGCCAGATATTATGAAATGCATCTCATTAACCATATTAACAANCTTAGACCAATGGGTTCTCAACCTTTCAGGCTCTTTGTCTCCCTTTGAATATTGGTGGAGGCTTCCAATTACCAACATATGCCATCATTATAAATAGTTCAGTTAAAATTTAAAGCAGAAACTGGTTATGAAATAAAAGTATGGCTAATTCAAACACAAAATTTTATACTGCCATACATATCTTAAATGTAAACATATGAAATCAAAAAATTAAATAAGTATAGACCAATTATATTGACGGCTATATTAGTATAGACGGAAGTTATAGCTGGGACAAAACACACTTCAGGTTACTTTTAAACTGAAATAACTGGTTATGTTATTGGAATATAATAAACAGTAAAAAATAGATGCCTATGCTAAATAATGGATTCACCCAGGAATCCCATCTGGAAATAGGTTTAGACAAACATTCAGGTTTCCCTCTGTTTCACATAATTCAATTTAATAGTTACTGCTTATGTGAAGAAGAAAAAATTAACACTTTTGCATTAGCCTGCTATGAGCCAGAGGATCATGGAAGTTAAAGCTCCACTATTTCGTGACCTTCCATTTAGTTGAAAAGATTCAATATCCTCCAAGGTTTGCAAAAAAAGATTTTTACTGATTACAACATTTCATTAAATTGTCACTGCCATCAACAAATACAATGTGTTAACCATATAAAACATTAATATATCAATACTTCAGAGACCTGAACTCGGATTAAATTTGAAGAAAATAAAATACCTGTTTTCAAGCCAGAATTGTGAAATGCATATCATTAACCATATTAACAAGGGATATTTCAACTGGCTGATTATTTCACATTAAAAGATATTTTTCATAAATTACTTACAAGCATTAATAAATAATGAAAAAGAAATACTCAGATTGAGATGAGACCACCTCCCTACAATACAAGAAAGGGACTAGCACTGGAGACAATGTGGGAGAGAATTCAGAAGAAGACTCTGGCCAAATATAACTATGTATTATAGCATAAATACTTAACTGTTCATAATTGTATTTTCTAATTGTGGAAAAATCTTAAAATGTTTGCATTTGTGTGTTACTTTTTTTTGTTTTGTTTATTATTTAAAGGTGAATTGCTAAAAGAGTAACTAAATTTTACATTCCATTAGCGCGAAACTAATGATCAACATCATTCATCTCATATTCGTACTCAATAGTTTAATTATTTTATTAATTTTCAGGGCCCTTCAAAAGTATGAATTATTAAATTTAGTCTAATTTTAACCTAATTTAATTTTGACCCTTTTAACTTTTGCTTATATGCTTATGGTATTATAATGTATATGCATGTGCAGAAAAGGTAGCAAAAATTGATAACTTGCACTTATAATAAATTAATTTTAATATTAAATTTGAAACTTATTTTTCATATTTTTGTTTTTGTAAGGTGGATCGCCTATACCTTTCACTCAAACTTTCAAACTTGATGGCAAAGATCGGATTATTCATTTTGTTAATAAACGAGCATTTGCCTTCATGGATGATAAGGAACCTCACGAAATAAGCTTCATCGGGACCCCTAGGAATGTTTTTGTTGAAGGGCTTGTAAGTTGGGTTGCTGACAATTTCTCTTCCTAATTCATTATCCTTTATTGCCAATATATCCTTAATCTAATTCTTATTTTCTTTTTTCTTTCTTTGTAGCCTCAATCATTGATTTTGAGTTTTGATCAAAAGTCTCATGATTTTGATCTAGATGGCAAAAGAAATACTATTCAGTTTGGCACTCCCTCTCGAGAACTTTACATCAATAATCGGCCATACGAAGTGCAGTTTGGTGGCCCCCCGTTGCTCGCCCCACTAGAAAACAACAAACTGCATCACATTCGAGTGGACGGTCCCCCTCCTCAAGTATTGATAGGAGAGAAACCTGCATATGAACTATGTGAAACCTTTAATAAAATGCATAAGCCTTCATTGCAAAATCCTAGTCTTGAGCCACCTGTGACTTCTACTGAAAAGACTTTGCCATTCCAAGATGTAGATATGCGCCTAAAGAGTAAACCTTTACAACCACCACCATTTTTTGAGTCTACTGCAGCAAAATTGAAAGACATTGATTGGCGTCAAGCACCTATCTCAGAATGTCAAACACCTTCAGTGTGGAATGTATCTCAAAGTTCAAATATAGTTCCTACAAACTCGGTAGTAAGTTCCATTTTAAATTATCTAACTAAAAGTTACTGATTTTAATTTTTGATATTGTGTTAATTGTATTCAGGGTAATTCACAGAAGATGAATCTGCAAGTTTTTCATCAATTTTAGCTGATAATTTGTATGAATACACTTTGTTTCTAATTCATAATAACAGCCAGTTTCTAATAAGAAAGCAATACTTTTAGAGTAGTATGGCATTTCTGGTCATGGAATACTCAATCCGTATGATATTTTCTACTTCCCCTTACCTATTTTCCATGAATCATCCCTATATGTTTAAATATTTAAAGTAATTTTTAAGCAAGACTTGAAATTTAACTTTTCTGTGAATTGCAGTCTTAATTTGGTAGCTGAGTTTGTTTAGAAGTTTAAGTAATTTTCATTTCTAAAAAATCAAATAAAATAGTTATCATACCCTATCTTTTTTTAAATATAAAATAAGCTGCGTTTTAAAGATTTTGTAACTATTTTTTATCATTTATTTCATTGAATGTTTGAAAGTTGTTTTAAAAAAAAATGTATTATAAGTCCTAAAATCATATTTGCAATGGTTTAAAATAATTGTAAATGATATCTTAAAGTTGATTCAACAAACTTCCTACTGCTAAGGCTACCTGCTATAACTTGAATCAGGTGTGGTATAATATAATATCCCATTAAAATCACTATGAAAACAAATTGAAAGATAAGGCTTCCTACATTCTAAGTTGTCATAAATCAGTCAATTCTTATTTTACTCTCCGTTTTCCCTATGGTATGTTTTGTTAACCTTTGAGCCTCAATCTTCTAGCAACCCCAATTCCAAAACGGGACAGCTTTCCTCCAATTTGTACTTGCAAATAAGGACTAATGAGTGCATAAAAACATTAACAGCAGTTAACCTGAACCTCTAGAAGTGTGTACTTACTTTTGTCCTGGTATATGTGTGCATATTTTTAAGTTTTTATATTTTTTCAGACAAATACTACAGCTGTTACTTTAGAAAGGTTCCCGCATCCTTCATCTTTTCCTCAAGTTACTGATGGAAACATAGTGTAAGAAACATTAAATAATTCCTATCTTTCAAATCTAATGTATATTTATTGATGTTAATTAATTCTTACTAAATTTTTTTAATAAAAATATTTTCATTTTTAAGTTAATTTACCAAAATGACAAAATCACTGAATAATGATGATTTGGGAAAAATAATATTTTTTAAAAACTAATTATATCTATAATTAATATTATAGATATATCTGGATGTGTTATGTGTTAGCAAATGTCGGGTAGATAAGTTGACCACTGTAAAAGCCAAATATGAAAACTACTAAAATTTAAAAAAGTATTATTCCTCTCTGTTATGAAAATATCATAAAGAAAATGCAAAATTAATTGTAAATAACATATTCAAAATAGTTTTCAAAAAGGTTAAATTAATACAGATTTATTCATATCTATCTCAAATTGTATACAGTGAATTGATATTTCGTGATCAGCAAATGTCTGACTTTATTACCAGCATTATGCCTTGATTTTTGGCAAATTTTGTCGTTTGAAAAGTTAATTAATACACCAAGATGTACAGTATTTGGTATTACTTAAAAAAAAATAATAAAAACTTATTAGATTAATTTTTTGACTTATTACTCTTTTATCTTTCAAAAAAGTAATAATCCTAATAAATAAAAAAAAATATTGGTCTTGGTGAGAAATTAATTTATTGTTTGTTATGCCAGGTGCAAATAAAATATTTGATGAATGTTGTTAAGCCACTTGCAAATAAATTATTTGATGAAAGTTGATGAGTGCTCTCTGGAATCATAAGGCTCCTAGCGAAAGTAAAAAGGGGTTCTGCGAGTTTGGAGCCAGTTGTGATTTTTAGAACACCTAATTATAATTAGATCCAACCAATGATCCATTATGTATTTGATGATTTGGTTGTCTTTTTGTTATTGTTTGAAGTAAAAGGCCATTTAAAAAGAAGTGCAATTTTTTCAACAATATATATAATTTCTGCATAACATTTTAATGAATTATCTAAAAGACATGCATTTATAAATGCATTAGCTAGTACTTTCCATTGTGCTTTTCAAATCAAAATAAAAATAACTTATGAAATTAATAATAAATTAGGAAATATTTAGATAAAGTAATATGTTTCCCTAATCGCCTTCTTTAACATTTATAGCTCGTCTTTTTTAATTTCCTTTCACAGAAAACCATAATTTAGCTTATTTTATTTATTTTCCTTAACTTATTTATATGCACCTAAAATAAATTCTTAACTAGACTAGATACAGTTTCAAAACTGTGAATCTTACTGTCGGACATGATGCCTTTGATAAAACATTGAAAAAAATTCATTCCTGTAACTTCATTTTATATGTGGTGTTGAGCAGTGGACCCAATTCAGAGCTCAACTCAGAATACATGACTTCCGATGTTTAACTCCGAATTTTTGTTATTTTGAGCTCAACCCAGAAGGCAAGGGAATTCCTGAAACAAGCATTGAAGCCAACTAGCCTTCATAGGAGACTTTTTTATGGAGCTAACCTGGATTTGCCTTACTTATAGGGGAAAACCTCCAACGGCTAGGGGATTCTAACCCATGATTCCCCTATCACTAATGATGTTTTATGTCAGTACTGTAATCGTTGCCAGCCAGAAGCAGAATTTGTATCGACCAATCATCAGCGGATTGCGAACCTGTGTCACCTCATTACGAGGGGAGAACTCTATCCCCTCATTGAATATTTTCAGAATAATGTAGCATTTTATAGGATGTAGTGAATAGTAATTCGGCCAAATGCTGAACATTCGACCAAAAAAATCTGCTGCATAGCAATATTTTTTTTAAAAAAAATTCGTTGATAAATATTATATTTTTTTAAATAGAAATTAGTTTATTTATATAAAATAAATCAAATCATCAAAATAATCAAAACTTAGCTTTATAGTGTTAGGTAATGGAAAAAAAACTTTTATAGAAATGCTTAGGATAATAAAGATAATTAAATATAAAACAGAACATAATGCTAAAAATGTTTTCCAGAAGAAAAAAATTATCCATAAAATATTAAGAGAGATAATGTCTATCAGAAACACTTTTAAAAATGCAGTGCAGTCATAAAACTGCCTATAAAAATCAATCTTAATTTTTTTAGAGAAAATTTTAAAGCTAAACATTTCAGTTTTCTAATTACCGTACTTTCAAGAAAAATGAAAGTCTAATAGAGACCCTCTTAACTGCCACATCATTAAAAAAAAAACATACATATTTTTAAAAAGAAAAGGCTAAGTAGAAACTAAAACAAAAATTGTTCTTAGTTTTGTATCCCGGGGTAGCCGCCTAGTTTGCCCACCCCTCAGCAGGGCCTTGAAAAACATTTAAACCAATTATTAGAATTTCAACTATGTAGGGCAATGAAAGAGCTTTTGATATCCTGTTTTTTTTTCTCTCTCTTTTTTTAAAATTATATTTTTCATGTTAAGTTAAAGATTAAATTTATGTTTAGTTGTCCTTTATACCAGTGTTCCCCAACCTTTTTATTACCACGGACCTGTCAACGTTTGATAATTTTACTGCTGTCTGCTGGGGGGGGGGCATGTTGATTGTTTATATTTTAGATTATTAATTTAATTTAATTGTATTTAAACATGCCTTCAAAATAAAATACAGATATACCAAAAAATAAGTATGAAGTGATTTAACATTTTATCTTACTAGAACGTTAAATCAATGACAACCCTGAGCTTGTTTCTATGCAATGAGATGGTTTCATCTCGGGGTAATCGGAGACAATGATACATTACAAACATTAAAAAATTTATGTCACTACCTTCGGGGGCCACTTTTTTTAAATAAATAAAATTTTAATGGAACACAGATATTTTTAATTTGGGGTATAAACCTAGGAATTTAAATTCAATTTCAATTAATTGGGCGGCCCGGTACCATTTGATCCACGAACCGGGGGTTGGGGAACACTGCTTTATACGATAGGCTACACTGATGAAAAATTTGATCTTCTATTCCCCTACATAATTGGAATTCTAATCATAGGTTTGACCTTTCTTCTGAAATAATTATTCAGCACTACTCTTCATCTACCAAACTGTATCTGCAATTTTTTTGTAAAATTGTAATAGTTTAGTTAATGATCTTTCTAGCATCACAGCCTTCTCCAACATATTCAAATCTATTCTAATTTAACCTTTTGCCCCCTTGGTTCTTGCCAAACTCCTAACATTTGTTTTTTTANAAATGTCTGACTTTATTACCGGCATATAAGTATACGCCTTGATTTTTGGCAAATTTTGCGGATTGAAAAGTTTTTTTTATTTCATTCGTTAAATATATTTTTGTGACATTTAAATTTTTTATTATTTAAAAAATCTCAAATTTTGGTTTTTTTCCCCCCCTAGCAATGGCAGGATGCCTCAAACAGCACCTTGGAGCGGAAGACCTCCCCTTGAACCTCAATTTTCCAATAAGCTGATTGGTCCTCTACCTCCACCTCCCAGGTTACCAATGGCTCTTAATAGTTTGCCACCTCCTCCACCATTACCAAACTTGCCTCCTGTAGATGTAAGACCAACAAGAGTATCAAATTTACCTCCTGTAGACATAAGGCCAACAGGATTATTAAATTTACATACTGTAGATGTAAGGCCAACTGTTTGGAAACCTCTTCCTCCACCTCCCATGTTTCCAACTTCTGTCTCATCTGGGAGTTTACCAAAAGTACCACTACTTCCAACTCCACATATGTTACCGATAGTCAGCACACCCTGTAAGGTTCTTAAAATTATATTCCAAATTATGATTAAAGTATATCCTAGCAGCAAAATAACTTGGGCCCTCTTTAAACCTATATTCATGAATCTTGACTCAATAAGAATACATAGGGCCAATGTTGACCCTATATAAAATTGTCCGATTCATTTGATATTTTACAGCCACTTTACAACCAATATCGGCCCTGTATAGAGTTGTCAGATTCACTCAATCTTTTATATTTATTATTCAGCAAATATTGGTCCTATATAGGAGCAATGTAAAAATAGTCTAGGCATCCCAAGTATTGGTCTCTCGGTGATGTATGAGTTTGTGATATTATGAGCCTAACTGGCCAAGGAAAAATTGTTGCTAAGGTATATGAGTTTAATATACTGTATTATACACCTTTCATCAACTTATTTCTAAAATCTCTATAATTTAAAAGTTAAAATTTATCTGAATTTATGAAATTGTTATTTCGTGAATTGATTGATATTCATATAATTGATATTTTTGTTCCAATCATAGCTATAAATTAAAGTTATTGATGTATTTAGATTTGAAGTATTTGGGATTGGTTCTATATTGAACTGCATGAAGCAATTTATAAATTCTTAAGAGATGTATTTTATTATTATGAAAATAGTTAAGCTTATGTAATGCCATGGAAAGTATGCTTCCATGTTATTATAAAAGAGCAATTAAAGGTTTTGATTACATGAATGTGGATAACAGTATGGTATCGAAGAGGCACCAACACTGTGGATCTATTTTCTCTGATATATTCATTGTTTTGATAGTTTATTTGTAGCCTATAAGCACAAAATTTATGAATTTTATTTATAAGCTCAAAAGTTCATGTTTATGGCCAGTTCTTTAAAGTAGGTTAAATTTTGAAAATCCAAATCATTTTCCTCAAAAAAACAAATGGTCTTAAAAATCAAGTTAATTTTAAGTGGTTAGCTTAATAAATTTCTTTTTATAACTCAATGTTATTCCCATAAATATTTTTTCCTAACATTACTGGAAAAAAATAATCTGTTTAAAGGGATAATTAGAAAACTGTTTAACTTTAATATTAAATAGAATTTATGTTTTAGTGTAAAGTTTTTGTAAAATGTTGTGTTTTTTGTTTTGATTTTCATTTTGGCTTTAACTTGAAGATTATAATATTCAATTAAATAATTTGTATTAGCCACAGTTAATTTGCCACTTGAAAAACCGATGGAACCAATTCCACCTGTCGCTGCACCTATTGATGTTGGATCCTTTTTTGAAAAGCTAGTGGCTGCAGGCATTATCTCAAAGAAAGAACCAGCTCCTTCTGTTGCAGCTGATGAAAGCTCATCAAAAGAGAAACCAGAAGATGCAATTAAAGAAGAAAAGGAAACCAAAATACCTGCCATCGAATTAAATCCTAAAAGTCTGAAGCAGTAAGTATTCTAATTTATTTAATTAAATGTTTCTATATGTATTCCTTATATAAAATCTATATTAAAATATAGATTTTATATAAGAGATAGAGTTTCTATAATAAAATATAATGCTTTTATTACAAATCTGCTTAAAAATATATGTTGCTAATGCCTTGCCACTTAAAATGATCTTTTGATAACAATTAATGTTAAATCCATTACTCAATGTTAAAGTATCACTCACAACAGAATTTTTATTCTCATTGTCTAAGGGAATTTCAAATTTATTATAAAAGGAATAAATAATGTGTAGTAAAAATATACAATTAATATTTTTTCAATACATTTAATTAATTGAAAACAGAAAATTATCTCAACTATTTCTTGGGTTTTTCTTTTGGTGTTCAAGTTTCATATGCATAAGTTAAAAAACATCTAATTAAGCATTTGTAAATTGTTATCTTAGTTGTCCTTCTGATGATGTTTTACTTTAAATATTTCTTTAATTAATAATATAATTATTAACTAAAGGTTGTAATTATTTTTTGTAATTCGGTTATGAATGATACAGTGTTACAAGAGAGTCATGGCCACAACAACCAACAGATCAATCCATTGTACAGAGTGCTTGAATTAATTAACTGTTGAAATTAAGTGACTATTAACCAACGAATACCCTAAAGCACCTAATGAAAGAAAAATATGAAATACAAAGCAACATAATTTGTTCAAGAAATGAATTACGTGTCTACTCGCCTTTTTTTTTTCAAGTCCAAACAAACGTCTCAGCAAAATTTAATATTTTAATATCAAATTTACAAGATAGCATATTATATCATATTTATAAGATGGCATTTTTAAACACTATTTAATTATAATATTCAATGGCAAACACAAATAACCAACATATTTATCCTGAAGTATTAAGAAATGACATTGTTATTTCCTAGTGCTACTCCCTAATTTAAATTAATCAAAATCCCGAATCAATAATTTCTCATGTATTACCATGAGTCCATCAGGAATATTTCTCCCAGCGCAATAGAAATACAAACATTTATTTAACTTTCGCGGGTGAGATTACAAATAATTTCTAAACATAAAAACCAAACTCACAGCATTATCCATAATATTTAATAGTATACAGCAAGAAATTAAAAGTAAATTGAAGTTATTTTAAAGATGGCCTATGGGCGCACAAAGCTTACCCGTAGCGGCAGGAAAGGCTGATTCCTTCTCAAATATTTACAACATCTTGTCTTAAAAAAAGTGATAAAAAAATATGAAATAACACATCACTAAATTTGAGATATCATATACCAAAGAGCATAGTTTCTATTTGAATAAATTTTATGATTGGCCAACTGAATCAGGTAATGGACGTAAAGAACAACAAATGCAAAAGGAAGTTTAAAATGTTGAATTTGGTATGGTTTTCGAAACAAAAGTACTAACTACAAAAAAGTAATAAACGTTGTTATTGAAATATTATCTCAAATTATGCATTTAAACTTACTATGTGACAAGAATATATTGAAAAAAGGACTATGCAGTTATATTGTTGCAGTCCTATTAACTATCCTTTCTTATTGTTGGTTTGAATTCCTGTTTTTTACCAGTCTTGGCCTTTCATTGTGATCGTTATGTCATATTTGTTGCACTATCTAATTGTACTTAAAAAATTGGAACATTTGAAAAAATGTTGTGATAAATTGTGCTATTTTTTTATGTTCAGCATTGTATTTAAGTTTTTAAACTTAGACATTCAAGGACATTATACTTTCTAATATTAACTGAGAAGTATTTGCTTTTTGTTTAGCTATCTATATGTTAGTTTAACCATAATAGCTCTTCCTTTATTCATTTATTTTTAATTTACTAAAAAAAAAAGAGGTTAAGTCTGTTTTTCTGTTGAAATTGATAGTTTTTCTACTGTATAAACTTCCTTTAGCAAAAATTAAGTTTCAAAGAAGTGAATCAGTTGAATGTTTTATTAGTGATACCATATTAGTTTTAGTCTCATGTATAAATTGTTTAACACTTATTCATGATTGGTTTTACTAAAGGCAGTCTGTTGTATTTTGTGCACAATCAATTGGCTGTGTTATCTACTAGTTTCAAAGTTTGAATAATTATGGCGAAATTTATACAAAAAGTGATTTTATTGTGCTTAAGCAAATTATCTTCAGTTCTTTGTAAATGCCACTGAATTTTAAATTAAAAATATTACTCTCTTCAACTTAGTACTCTGTTTGTTAGTTATACCATTTACAAGAATTTAAATTTAAAAAAAAAAAAAAACTATTTTATTTTGTTTAAAAGAAATAGTTTTTCCTTGTTTATTAAATTTTAAATTTTTCTAATTACTTAATGTTTCTCTAATGTAAATTACTGCATGAGTAATTAGTTTATGTTTATTGCTAGCATTAAAACTATAATAATTATTCAGAAACTAATTGTGCAAACACTAATTAAAAGTGTGTAAATTGTTACACAGTTAAATAGTTATGCCATTCATTTGAAAAAAACTTATACTATTTGATTTTTAGGAAACATATTGATTTAAACAACCCTTTAAAAATGTTACAACATAATGTTTTATAATACAAAAAAAAAGGTATTCAAAAAGTAGTTGTACATCTTGTAGCTTTATAATTTATTTATTTACAGTAACTGAATTACATATCGTTTCATAATTTTTAAAGGGCGAGAAAAACTTGCTTATAAAAGTAGTAAATCTTCTTTTTATTCAAAAGCTGTTAAATATACTTGATGTTGATTTATAATGTTTTTAAATCTAGGTTTTACTCTGGACTCTTGACTTCTTTGTACAAAGGTTCACAATGTGCAACCTGTGGCATGAGATTCAAAAATTCCCAAGGTGAACAATATGGAAGACATCTTGATTGGCATTTCCGAATGAATCGTAGAGAAAAAGATGGTGCCAAAAAAGCCTTCTCTCGCAGACTCTTTTATAACGTTAAGGTGGCTAGATTTTTTATTCTTTATGTATATTTCTTTTCAATTTTTTAAAAAAAATTTTAGCTGTGTTAATCTATTGGAGTTTTTGTAATTATATACGAATCGCCAAAAGAAAAAAAGTTATCTACTCTAAAAATTGGGTGACTAGAATTTTATTTTCAATCTAAAAAATTGGAATACTAAGTCTAAGAAAATTGTAACAAGAGTATATTAATACTGATACTGAGTAAAAGCTTTATACAATGAACTTTTTTTTCGTTCAAAGGAGCAATTAATAGTTGTGAATAAGTTTTTAATTTGTATGATTTTGATAAGTGTTCAACTTTTTACTTTTACGGAAATTTCAATTAAATAATAATTTTTTTTAAAAAAAGAAGCTTTAACTATTTGATTAAAGTGTTCTTTTTATTCTTACTAACTTAAGTTCTTGTTAATAGGAGAAAGATGAAAATGTATCAAGAAAGGAAATAGCTATAGTAGTAAAATTTATTGTTAAAATATAGAGTATGTTATTAAAACATGTTAAGAACTGTATAATGGCAGGCAGTGTTTTGATGTCTGAAAAAAACCTAAGCCATAAAAAAGAAAACCTTTGTTAATTTTAAAAATAGCTTTATATTCTAATACCATTAATTCTCTCAGTCATCTATATGTGATCCTTCTTTGTAATTAATTTTTCTTTAACTCATCGATAGCGATTGTTACTTGATCATCTGCACTCATAAAACAAAATGTATCAAGTGTTTCCCCCTCCCCTTTATTTGGAGATTGTTCAGGATAATGAATGCACTTAAAACTAACATATAAACTAGGTTAAAAAGCACTTGTATTAAAGTAGTAAGTTTTAAAAAAAATTGTGTAAATTTCAAAATAATTTGGAAACTTTTTGATTCATATGTATTAACTATTTCATTCATGCAATTGTGTTTCTGTGCTATATTTGGGATATTAAGTTCTTCTCCATTAGTTCCTTAGAAATATTTTTAAACAGAATTTTTTTTAAAAAGTAAGGTAAAAACAACTTGTTGTAATGTCATGAAAATCATTCACTTATTATTTTCATATCAAAAAGTGATATATGGAATCTAATACAAATGTATCTTTTAGTATCCATAATTCTAAACTTAAAATAATGAATTTTAAATATTCTTGATTATTTTAGGATTGGGAACAATTTATAGAAATAGAAGAAGCTGAAGAAAGAGGTATACTTTAACAATACAAAATTATATTATTTGTCAATTAAGTACAGTGCAGAACCTCTTATCCGGAAATCAGAAAACCGGAAAACCAGATAACCGGAATGAAATTTGGAACCGGAAATTAATTTTCTTCCATTAAAAAAAATTTTTTTTTCTTGCAAGATTTTGTGCCCATTTTGTTATTTAGAGCATACGGCGTTTTGAGTTGACGAAAGAACTGATTTAGAGGACAGATCAAAAGCCGTTTGTAGACGAATCTCACATTAGCACAAATAGCTTATATATGTTATTTATGTTAATAATAACATACATAAGCCTGTATATAATTTTTATTTCATAATTTCTTTCCTTATTTAAACTTAAGTGTATTATTATTTATCATTTTTTATTATTTCTAAAACTATTTCAAAATAATTTTTTANAAAGTGATTTATGGAATATAATACAAATGTATCTTTTAGTATCCATAATTCTAAACTTAAAATAATGAATTTTAAATATTCTTGTTTATTTTAGGATTGGGAACAATTCATAGAAATAGAAGAAGCTGAAGAAAGAGGTATACTTTAACAATACAAAATTATATATTTTTGTCAATTAAGTACTTTATTATTTTACTCTCTGGTAGTTTCAGTATTAGGCAAATTTTTAAAAATTTCTAGATACACTATTTCTTGAAATATTGGATTTATTCTGTCTTTAAAGGGCTAAAGACTTGAAGTTTTTAGTTTGTTTACTTTTATATTTAGTTATTAATTCCATTTTTGTTCTCAGCGTTTTTGCAGTTAATTTAAAACCAGTTTTCTTTTTGTGAGATGGATTTTTGTGTAATCAAGGTTACTTCAAAACTGAAAATGCATTTTTTGTTGTCACTAATTGCTTCTGTACCTTCTGCTCAGTATAAAGCCATGTTTTACCTGCACTGATTTTCAAAAACCATCAGAACCATTCAAAATGAAACCTTTTTTTTTAAATCAAAAAATGCCATTTATTTTTGCTCATCCTTCAATCTCATGATATTTTTAGCCCATTTCAGTCTTTTGTTTTGATTAATGCTTAATTAACTCTGTTTATTTCATTTTCACAAATTTTGCTTTAGTATTTTTAATTTAAGATCTGTGACTTTTTAAAGTGATCGTTTGTCTCGTGCAATGAAAATTCATTTTTTTCCCTGATAGTTTATTTTGCATAAACTATCTCTTTTTAATTATGACATTGTCAAAACCTGGTTTAGAACACTTTATCTCTAATGCTTCTCTTTGACATCTACATTTTTAACACATCACACACAGATGACTCTTTTCTACATCTCTAACACTAGAAAGGCGGAGGGCTCTATGTGGTTCTTCTCTCTTTTTGCTGTTCTGTAATTCCAAAAATAATTAACTTTAAGCGATGTACTTTTTGACTCTGTTTAATGGCTTATTTAATCATTTTAGTTTTAACCTCATAGGAACTTATATATTTAATCTTATATTTGCAATATTACAGAGTTGCTATGTCACGTCTTCATAGTATTAAAATATTAATTTTGGATATATTTTTTATTATTTGAAGTTTATTATCTTATGTTGATATATCATTAGTTTCTGTCAAAACCTTTGATATTAACAAATTTAATACATACACTCTATTTTTTATAATAATTTGTAAACTTTTATTTTTTGTTATATGACAAAGTTTCTTTATTTCTAGTATTTGAAAAAGATAAAATTTACTTTTATCTTATTAAAAAGTTATTGATTTTATCTTTTCTTCTTTTTTTAAAAATTTTTTTGGTAGGGGGGGATGTATATTTTCAGAAAAGTTCTCATGTTCTTCAGAAAATTTTATTTGAGTGTACTATCACCCCTGATTGAGAGCTGATTGGAAAAAAAACAACTTAGTCACAGAAACTTTAAAGAGCTCCGTGCTGCATTCATAGTGCTAAAAAAAAATGATACTAAAGCAATGAAACCAGTAAAAAACAATGTGTAAACAGATATGACGACACTCTAAAAAAGGAAATTAAATGCTAAGTAGTGAAAAAGAAATCATGCTTGGTACATGTCCATATTATGGCAAGTGTACTTTTAAAAAAGTGCAGTTTATTGATTCTTATGAAAACTGTAAAAAAATAAATTGAAAATAATCCAGATTAATGTCACAAATTTTTAGTTTCATTAATTGAAAAGGAGTATTTCATTTTCTTTTTTAATATCCATGATTATTACTTTTTATAAAGAATAAAAACTCAATTATCTGAACTACAAAATTTTAGTTTAATTGAAAAAGCCATAATATCCCATTCATTTAGACATTTTTGTTAACCAATTAGGGAAAAAAAAATCTCATGCAATTCTAGTAATTGAGCTTCTATGATACCTTAAATAAATAATTATTTTTTAATTTTAGATACATATTTTTGATTTACAATAAAAAAGATCTAAGAAGGGCCAAACCAGGTCATTCTGTATTTTTAAGTTCTACAGCAATTTTTAGTTAATTAAGTTATACAGCAAGAAAAACTTGTACATTAACTGTTATACATTATATGAAAATTTTTGCAATTGGTCTTTTTTTTTTTTAACTGGTACCTCTATAATTTATCGGTACAATTTTTGATAACATTTAGTTATTTTAAAAAAAAAAAAAATTTAATATTTCTGAGTCATGTATATAATTTTTGCTTTTCAGCTCCGAGTTACTTTGAACTTCAAGCTGATTGTATAAGCGTTAAAAAGGAAGAGGCTGAGAAAATTCATAGTGTTCGAGCGAGTGAATGTGAAACTGAGGTAAGGATTTTTTTTTTTTCTTCCAAGAAATTTCTATACTTATTGTTGTGAAGTATATTGATAATTTTAAATAATAAAAGTCATATAATATAATAAATCTGCATGCATAAGCCATGATTAGTTTAAAATAGCTTCTATATTATAAAGATTTTTAGTGACACAATTAAAAAGCACATTTTTAGCTTGGTGAGAGACTTTTGCATTAACATAGGGTTGCAGTTATTGAGCTTTCTGAAAGGAAAAAAAAAAACAATTCAATTTTTTAAATATTGACAAACTTGATAATTGAATACCGAGTGTGTTGAGATTTTATTTTGTAAGCGCACACTCTCTTATCTCTTTTTCAGTAAAAATGGTTTTTCTAAACATACACCAATCACGTTTCTGTCTTGATACTTCAGTAAGTTTTACAGAAGTTTGCTGTTTATCTGTGCCACATCATAGCCTTTTAAGGCAAGCATATCATAAATTCGCATATCTGTAGTTACTTTTAAAATTAGCATGAAGTTTTCAAACTCTGTTTTTAAAATCTATTTCATATCGCTGATAATTGTCACCCGATATGACTTTTTTGAAGAAACTAATTACATGGTAAGATAAGTCCACATTAAGAGTTCCTAAATATCACCATTTGCAAATAATATCTCTGTTACAAAGTATTTTAGTTGATAGATAGTATAGAATGTAGATTATAGATAAAATGTATTATAAATAATAGATTTCTTAGATCAATAATCTAAGAATTTTCTTAAAAAATCCCTTGTAATTGCACTTTATATGATCTAGAATAATAAATGTGTGTAAGTAAGATTTTTTTTTTTAGTATTTTCTAATTGGTTCTTTACTTTAATGATATCTACTGCTGATTAACTTTTGAAATTTGATTATTACATAGTATTTGTTAATGTCTATCTAAACAACATAAATTGCATTCTCTTGTAAAAATCTCAGTTTGCCTCTGGAGAAATGCATTATTATAATGTCTAATGGATTAACTAACTCAGTGTTTTCTTCCTGGACGAAATTAAATTATAATTACACTTCTTTCCCATTAAATAATGTGGAAAACTTTTTTCAAGTAGGAAATTGATCTAACGTTCAGAAAAAGTCAGAACTAATGCACAATGGGTTAAGAGCTGATTATTTTTATTAATATTCTATTTTAGGCTAATATGCTTACGTTTCTATTTTAATTATTAATATTCTAATTATTACAGAACATATGTTCAGGAATTTTACTATTCAATTAATTTGCTTAAGACTGGAAAATGTAATTGTTTGAGAGTAAGGAATTGTAAATTTTAATTAAAATTCTTTTTATTCTTCAGGTTTCATGTATTCATTATGTTACACTACAACTTAAAATTTATTTGCATACTGAACATTTTCTTGTCTGTTTATATATTTCGATAGTTTAAAATGTTATGGAAAAAACTATGATATCACCATAATTAATAGTGATTTTTCTTCTGTTAAGAAATGCTTTGTTTGTGGGGAGCAGTTCCAGCTGTTTTGGGTTGAAGAAGAGGAAGAATGGCATTTACGAAACGCTGTTAGGCATGATAATGAGGTAACGTAGTAACACTTTTTTCCCTTTAAAATCAGACTATGTGGCAGCATTTTATGCAAAAAGAAAATTCTGTTGATACAATTTTAATACAATATATTCATGTTGAAAATGTATGAATATATTTTTAAAACATTTTTTATGCATACATGTCATGACCTCCTATATCCAACTATGACCTGGTCTTTCTCTATAGTCCACCATTTTTTGGGAGCACTTTAAATGTTTATCACTTTTCTGCAATTTTATAATCATAAATTTGGTTTAGAGGAAAGAAAAAAGATAATTTGAAACATTAAATTTTTTCTTTTGAAACATTTTTAAAGCAAAAAGAGTTGTAGCAAGGGGGGAAATTTAAGAGGACTCAAATTAATTGTTCATTCCTTAAGTTGTTCAGAAAATAGTTGAAATTTTTTTTTTATTATTATTTTCCTTATTGCTTATTTTATTTTTCTGTTTTTTCCAATCCTTCGTTCCTTTCCCGAAATACCCCTAAATAATAATTTAACCACTATTTTGGCTAAAAGCAGGTGAGGTGATTGGTCAAACAGCCCTTATAGAATGAATAATCTTTCTTCCAAGTGTTTGACCTCTGAAAGAAATGAAAAAGCATTATTATAAATTTAAATTTCTATTGACGGGCTAAAACAGTTTCAAAACAGTAACATTTAAAGCAAGATGAAAAGATTATGTAGGATTTGGCCTCATAAATTGTATAAAAAAAGAGAACAAAAATCATTGTTCTTTTTTTTTATATTTCAATATTTTTGTTTATTTTCTTCAGCTTCTTGCTACCACTCTTTTCTGCTCCTAAACAGGTTAAAAATATGTAACCACAATCTTGATAAAAGCAGGTCAAAGTGTCTCATGTGTCTTAGCTCTCACAAGAAAGCTTGAAAACATAATCATATTGGGTTTCAGGTCATTTACATAAAAATCAGCAGCTTTTTTTTTTATACAGTTCAGCTTGTGTTATTGTTGTATATTTTCAAATTAATTTAGGTCGATAATCAGGCATGTTGTTCTTCCACTAATTCTGCAAATCAATAATTTTTATTCCAACACAATTTTCTCAGAGTTTTGCTCATCAAAACTTTCAATCAATACTTACGCAAAATCTTGTTAACAAGTCATTTATTCTGCCCTTATCAGCACTCTTTTTTTTTCTTCCTGAGGACTCACATGTAATAACTACTTTTTTACACAGATTTGTTAAAGAAAAAAGCGCATTCGAGAACACGAGAGTGGAAAAAAAAATTCATAATTGCTTTGACAAGAACGAATAAATTACTGAGGGAAACAAAAGTATAAAATTGTTAATCTAGAAAGTAATTCCAAAATGACAGAAAAAAATTGTTCGCTAGAATAAAACTTTTTTTAACTTATGATAAAATAGGTAGTAAGCTTTAAAATGAGTTGAAATTTTGTTGCAAATTCTGATTTGTAACTGAAGAATTTAATCAATGTAATACGTTTGCCCCCTTTTTTATTTGGCACAATTCGATCAAATTAATTTTTTAAAATAAGATATTACCATGGAAATTTCAAACCGAGCTTGTCAGTAATGAGTTTTTAACACACTCGATGCAATTGTAAATCTGTGTTTCAAGCGTTATTTTCTTTTATTTTTCATTTTCCAATTAATGCAATTGGTTTTCTCATGGTTTTTAAATTTCCAACATTAAGAAAGGCAAAATTTGAATAGTGCATTTGAGTAATCGATTTTTGAAGCGTTTGATTTGTGTTTCCATGCAGTGTTTCAATCATTTTATCAGTAATTCTTTTCTTTTTTTTTCTATGTAGAAAAGTGCTTTATGTAGAATGGTGATGATTAATCTTTTACTGCATTAATACAATTCTTACTTATTAGAGATTAATAATGTTATGCATTTTTTTATTTACTCAGTTTAATTAACTAAACTTAATTTGAAATTATGTATGTTAATGGTTTAGTTTCTCCAAAAAATAAATTTTATTTTCTTACAGGTTTTTCATCCAGCTTGCTACGAAGATTTCATAAAGGTATACTGATATTTTTAAAAAAAAAAGCTTATTAATTTTTAAATGTGAAATTTCAGTGCTTAGTATGTTAGCTGACAATCCTAAAATGTTATTGAATTTTCAGTTTGCAAAATTATTTGCTAAATTTTATTTGTATTCAATTTAAATATTACTTTTGTTCTTTAGATATATTTAGTCTTATCTCATTTTCTTATAGACATGGTTCATTCCTGAAAATTACGTTTTATTTCCTGAAAAATTTTTAACAAAAATAAAAAACGATTCTTAAACAGAGAAAATAATTAATCATCCCTTCTGTCTTCGACTTGTTTGTTGTGTTGTTGAAGTCCGAGTTTATTATTATTATAAGATTATTTCGTCCGCTATGAGGGAGCGTTCTAACCGAGTCCGCTCAACAAAAACCTATTGGTTGAAAATCTGGCAAACCAAACAATTGTGGCTAAAAGAATAATTGATGACCATCTACAATTTGTTGGTGGACTTGAAAAAGTCATTATTTCAAAAGAACTCATTGTTTCAGCTACAGGTGCATGTCAAAGATATCTTGCACATTTGGAAGAAGAGAAAGTAATTACAACTAATAAAGCTAAGGGTGAAAAAGGAAAGCTCTTAGCAGAAAATTTTGATAATTTAAAGAGGAAAAAGAAACATTTGGAGGATGATATTCAAGAACTTAATAAAACTTCTGAAGATTATTCTGATCAGGCTGGAAAAAAAAGTGATCTCTCATTAATTTCAAAAGCAAATGCCTGAAGGCGTCATGCTAAAGAAAAAATGGCTGAGCTTGAAATATGTGAAGAACTGAATAAGACATATATGTCTTTAAAAAGTGTTTAAAATAAGTAATATTTTAAATTTACTTTCTTAGAAAGAGTATGAACCCTGTATAGACTAATTATAAATAATACATGCTTTATTTTGTATGTTATGAACTATATATATTTAGTCAAATGTCCTCAAAAAGTTAAAATTAATAAATTGAACAGTTTTATATAAATAAACACCTATTTTGATTTATTTATAATAATATACTTTAAGAGACATAACTGTTGAAGCCGAAGTGCATATTTAAAATTTGTGTAAGGTTAAACTTCTGTTGAGAATTGAGTTAAAAGACTTGGTTTTATGAATCATTATTCCTACTTTTCATTATAATGCATTTCTAGTGGGTATTCGTTATTTATTTGCAAAATTTTTTATCCTGTATGATGTTTAAAAAAAAAAATTTTTGAAACAAATGAGTTATTCAGAATTATAATGGAAAGTATTTTACTTAGTGCTGTTTATGTTTAGTCTATTCTTTTTAAAGTTAAATGTTTTCATGGCTGTTTTAAAACTTCAGAATTGTAGTTTTAATTTGCAATTCACTTTTTTATAACAGTGACTGCAGTTGTGCTATATTTTGCTACCCATTTATCTTTTTTCTTCTTCAAATCAAATATATAAAGTTTTGTGTGCAGTAAACCAATAATTAAAACATTATAATTTTTTTTAAATGTTTTCTAACTCGAAAATCTATTATTTTTTTATAGAGAGGGAAGTTTTTTTTCTCAATGCTTTTGTTTTAAAATGATGAGTTAACAGGACGAAATCGAATAACTGATAGTTAAAGGCAATTCTGTTATTAAAAATTCTTTTGTTGTTGCTTAGATAAAAATTGTTTTTTAATGTCTATACTAAAGTAAAACATGCCATGACTAAACATGTTAATGACTAAAACATTTTATTTTCCCTGACAGGCTTCAAAGTCTCCTATTGCTGACACATCTAGAGAAGAAACAGAAGATGAGGCTCTAGACGAAAAAATAGAAGAAACGGGGGAGAAGAACGAAGAAGCAAGTAATAAAGAAAAAGAAGAGAAGAATGAGGTACGGATAGCAGAGACACATGATGTACGAACAGAAGAAACACATGAAGTACGAACGGAAGAGACACATGAGGCGCGAACAGAAGAGACACGTGTGGTAAAAATTGAAGAAATACATGAGGTAAAAAAAGAGATAAATGAGGTGGGAAAAGAAGAGAATTCTGAGGAAGATAAAGACATGACATCTAGAAAAGAAGCAAATATCCCACAAGAAGTATGTGAAGAAGAAAAAATGGATGTTGAAGAATCTCCTATCCAAGATGATGTAGATGTCAAAGTTCCTATCAAAGAAGAACCTTTAGAAGACACTTCAAACATCAATGAACCTAATGATGTTCCAGTCAGTGAGAACCCCACTGCCGTTAACATTGAAACGACAACGAAAATTAAAGAAGAGCCCATGGATAGCTCTGATACCGAAAATATTGCTGTAGAGAATAATAGTCCATCGAAGATTATTGTTTACATGAATGATGACTTTTTAGATTACGGGACTGAAGAGGCAATGGACATTACTACTAATGAACCTTCAGAACCTAACAATAGGGTTATAGAAGATAAAGTAATGAAAGCAGAAGATAAAGTAATCAAAGCAGAGGAAGTAGATGATAGGACTTTAGTGAAAACAGAACCGACATCAGATGATGTTGAGAGTGACGAGTTCCGTCCGCCAACTCCAGACCCTAGGTTTGATGTTCAACCGCCAATTTTTAAAGGAACAGAATTGTCTGCTCTATGTACCATAATGTAGATAATTTATATATTTTTTTATTTATTGTGATATTTGTACATAAAAAACAACAACAAAAAAATGAGCTGTGATCCAAAGAATAAATATTTCTTTTTTTAAATTGTAATCAGGCTTGCTTTATTTTTCCTTATTATTAGTATATTTACTAACTATTACTGTTTAAAGCTGTTTACTAACTATTACTGTGAGAAGAAAAAAACTTTATTTTTCAACATAACTATGCTGTTTATTCCATTGGTGTGTATTAAAAAAGCCTTTCTTCAGAAGCAATGAACATTTAAGAGACATTTTGGCATTAACTCTATGTATTAGTACACATGTTCTTGATTTCTTTATCTTAAAACCAGGCATTATTAGTCGTGTTTTTTTTTTTAATTATTCCGTACAGTCTATTTCACATTGACATTGCTTCCAAATATTTCTCAAATTTTTAATGAGATTTTGAGTCTGGTGAATTTCTGGATCAATTTATATTATGGTAACGGATCAATTCTTGTTGAAATGTTCCATTAAACGTCTGCTTCTATAAATAATGTGTATATACTCGTGATTGAATTAATTATGCCCCTCAACAGGGACTAAACTTATAGCAGCATTTTGCTAGGTGGGGGGGAAGAAAACTAACTTATTTCAATTAATTTTGCTCAATATAGTAACTTGTCTCTTTTTTGTCTATTATGTAATCAAAAGTGTTTTTAGTTGCATTATGAATATAAGCGAAATTGCATCAACTATGGTATGGTGTTTACTCATTTATCAAGAATTATGCAAATTATTTGCAAAATGACTAACTGAAAATTAAAGTGATTAAATTTGGCAAATGTATTTGTAAGTTATATTTATTATTAATTATGAGCAAAAAAATATTTAGTTGTATTGATTTGTATAATTTTTAAATAGTAGTTTGTCATCTTAATATCAAAGTTTATTAAATTCATTAGTTGTTTAGAGAGAGATATTACGAAGCAACATATTATGCCAGGCGTTAGATATTTATTATACAATAAATTTTTCTCTTAAATGGACTGTATTTTATTCTTAATATCTGATGTGTTACGATAGTGACAAGAATCAACTTTTTAGAACTTTTTGGTTTCAATAAGAACGTGAATAAATTGATATAATTTATCTTTCTAACTGATTAATTGAATGAAATAACTTAAAAGTTTTAAAAAATTTTGAAATGAAGCACCAAAAAATTTTTTAATGATTTTGTTTAAATGGATCTGGAGATAATTTTTCCGACCCTATAATCACATTCATATGTTTACCTATTAAATCAAAAAATTATAATTATACTATTACAGGATGTAGTTTTCATTTTATGATGATCTTCTACTGTTCGATAGTCGAATGACAAAAAGTTGTTAACTGAAAGATATTTTTTTAAGTACTGAAATTTTTTCTTGATGTGAATTTTCATTTTCTTCTCGTACTGCAGCCGAAAGAATACCAATCGTGTCCCAACTGGTTTTTTCCATTTCAATATATCGGATGCACGTTGTTTCTAAATAGTAACCTCTAATATTTTCAAGTCATCTGAGTGGGGATGTTTCCTATTTTTTTAGTGCCTTTTAGCTTATTGAAGGTTAGAAGATTTAATCCCAAAAATCGAACTTATCCATAAGTAACACATGCTCTGACTATTTTTTTCTTTTGAAAATAAGCAGTTGGCTATTCTTACTCATTGTCTTTCCCTGCCATAGAGAACTATTGATTGGATTTAATTTTAGTTCTGTTACTAATGAATCATGGTCTTAGCCAATTAATTTAAGCCAGAGTAAAACCTGCTTGACCTATTGGAACATTCATTCCATTTTTGTTGGTGATTGTTGTTCTAAGATAACTTTCTCCAAGATGTAACCATTAATCACCAGTGGTATGTTATCAGATTCTTGATTGATCACAATCGTGTGCTTCTATGCTCTGCTTAACTGTGTTTGCATTGTATAACTAACAATGAAATTTCGATATCAGGGAAAAATAGTTTTAAACAGGAATTACCTTTAGAAATATTTTTTTTTTATTCAACTGTTGTATATTTTTAGTAGATAACTGAGAAATTTAGCTTTTTTTTAAATTTTAGTTTTTATATAAATATCCCCTGTCCGAACAATGTTTCTTAAATGCAATAGTTTCGAAAAATATTGCGGCGTGGAATCGGTGTGTAGACCGGATATTGAGAAACAATGATCTAGATGAGGCATCAGAAAGCTGACAGAACATTCTAATTTGTTGAAATTTTCAATCTTACTTTGTACAATTTGTTTGGATTCTTATTAATTTCCTAAAAATTCATCACCTTCGTCAAAGGAGCTTCCTTTGTCAATGTATAAGTGTTGGAATATATCTGGTCCCATCACTTTAGCTGCAGACAATTCAGGAAATGCATGAACAGCAATTGTCTAAAGCTTTCACAAATTGTTTCATCAAACCAAGTTTTATTTGAAGTGGAAAATAACATTTCCAACTTGTCTCTTAATCCAATGCTGACTCTATTATCCCAATGGTGACACATATCTGTTTGAAGGAGAAGTTGCAGAATAACGAAACTTCACCTCATTGTCTTTACTTTTTTATTAATGTGTTTCAGAAAAGTAAAATAATATTTATGTATATATTAATGGGTGTGCATGTATATTCATAAAAATACAAAGACAGAACTGAAAACTTCATGTTGTGAAAAAGCTGTAATTTATTATTTTAAGCTTACTTTTTTCTGAAATCAGCGTCCCAAAATACATCGGAGACATTGCTTGGTAAATATTTTCATTGCAGTAACTGATGTGTTTAGCAAAAATCGAACTTATCCATAAGTAACCTTTTTCAATGTTTTCTATTTAAAACAAATACAAGTTCTGATTTATAGTATATCTGGGTTTTATTAATGTAACTTAAATAAATTGGGTAAAAAAAAATTTATTTTAGTTTATTATCGAAAAAGTATGTTTTTATAACAACAAAATAGTATTTTTCAGAAACTATTAATTTAAACAGATATGTGTATTATTTTACTTTTTCATATATCTTGATTTTGCATTTTCACTACATTTTTCATTTTGGTATTTTCTATTGCATCATTTACAGCGATGTGAATGTAATATTAATGACGATAAATAAAGATTCTATATTAATAGGCTGTGATTATTTCTATGTGTTATATTTATTCTCTCTATATTAAAGAATTGTCTCGAATGAATAAAATTCTTTTATTCGTTCGAGAATTACTAACTGTTAAACTTGTTGGAAAAAATACCAAGTGGGCCGCAGGAATGCAATTACATAGTTGAAATTCGACATGCTATTTCAATATTAACGCAAGCTTTTTCTTTTTTCTTCCTTGAAATTCTATTGCAATTTTAAGTGCTTTTTTTGCAAATTTGTTCATTTTTTTAATATTTTGCGTTACATTTTATTTCACCGCATGAGAACTATAGGTTTTCGAAACTTAAAATTACTGAAGTGTATTGGAAAATGCAGAAGGAATTCAATGAAATGAAGTTGGCCGGCCTACTGTGCACTGCATGCAACTAACGGGTTGTCCTACAGTGGACGGATCGTAAGACTTGTTTCCCAGTAGAGCACCGAATTCAAACATAAGTAGCACATTTCAATGAGTTACCACTTTGATCAATTTACGAAAGGACTGAGGGTGTATGGTATTAGTCCTCATTAAAGTGCTCGCCTTCACTCGCAGGTCGCCAGGCTTCCAGAGCAAGTCTGCAGATAACCAAAATTGTGATGGCATGTCTTCGTATCATTTGCAGGGATGTTTCCAAAACTGTGGCCAATAATCCTTTGTACCGCTCTAGTGCGACGTAAATAACTCTCTAAAATGTAAACCAAATTTCGTGAAATGTTATAAGAAGGTATAACGAATACGATGATAACCTAAGTTAATGGCTCAAGATCTTAAATTAATGGGCAAAATTGCCTAAAAATGATGTAACAAAATGGCACTTGCAGGGGTTTAATATGGGGTAAGACCAGTGGCTCACCCAGGATAGGGTTTTCAGGGTTAACCCCACCTGGAAACCGCAAACAAGGAGTTTTTCTTTATTATTAATTCGATTATCTAAAATTAATCTTATAAAAAAAATTATTACCTTAAAAAACTGATTTTTATTTGGAAATGAAAGTAAAGTATTTATTCTTATTGAGTAAACGATCTTCAAAAAGAACATATCAAAAAAGTTCGATAGGCTTTTCTTTTCATTGAACCCCTTTCATTTTTCAGAAAGGGGGTCCTCTTTAAGAGAGGGAAACAAATTTTTTGGAAAATACCCATGTAGAGAAAGGGTGACTTCTTTTGGTGTAATTGAAAGGGCCAGTGCCCAAAATAAAAGTTATTTTTATTATCGGATTTTTACGTACTAAGAATCAATCTTAATCGTTAAAGGAAGTGACCCTCAGATATGCTAATTAATTTTAAATATACAACATTTTAAAATTCCTTTTCTTTGAAATTATTCGACCGATTTCGCACGCATTTTGTAATTTGCCATTTTTAAACTGCATACCTTGCTGTTCGAAAATTTTTCGACTATTATTAAATAAAATGATAAAACATTATTAAAAGAATGTATTTTTTTTATTGGTATTATCGTTGGGAAGGCGAATTTTATAATTTGCTTTCTCGAAGTATAGCAAATGACGCATAAAGTATAATAACTTTTAAGGGGTCCAATCTTTGTACCGGTCTACTGACCAAACTATTAGTACCATTTTTCTCAGTTTGCGGCTATAAATGTTCGCAATAAAAGTTTTTTTAAAAAGACTGAGTGAGAATTTTTTTTTTTTTTTTCGATCAACAAATAAATAACTACACAACAATTAAACAACGTTGCAGGTTGACAACTGAAAATCCGTTCCGATTTAAATTCTTTTCCATAATATATATGAAATTAAAACATTTGCGTAATTTGAAAAAGTAAATATGAAGTTAGTAAATATGATAAAATAAGTTATTTGAAAGTGAGTGTTGTGGTCATTGAAATTGGATTGCAATGAAATTTAACGTAAGGATAAAGTTTAAAAATAAAGCGTCTTTCTTATATAAATGCAGCCCTACATATTAAGCATTTAAATTTGAACTTCAATATCGGATTTTGATTTGAAGAATAGATTTCATTTAATTATTGGAAATTGGTTATTTTTTTATGTTTTATTTCTAATAAGGTAGTCATATTAAGAAAAATAGACGAAAGGAAGGGGAAAAAAAACAGAGATAAAAGGTAATGAAAAGCAGGTTCAAAATAAATACGTTTTTTAAAACATCGATTTTTAATTTATATTAAAAACTTATATCTGAAGTTATTTTAATGTTATTATATCAGTATTACTCTTTTTGAAAATTATGTTTTTGGGATGAATTAAATCTTTAATTATAACAAAAGTGAGGGAGAAATTTGCAGATCTGAAATCCACAATATATTCAACCTCTTTAAAATTCTTCTAAAATTTTCATACAGTGATATCTAGATTATAAAAATCATGCTTTGACTGGCTAATTGTAAAATTAACACTAGAGGTAAAAGTGTCTATATACTGCTTTAAACGAAACTTTCATTACGTACTCAAAGAAAAGCAATCAAAAGGAGTTAAAAACTAAGTCCTCTGTGTTAAAATAATACGGAAATCAAGCAAAATAAAAAAATATCTAACGTTACTCGAGTTCGTGGGACACGTATCTTCAAAAAAAAGGTAAACCCTACCCTACGACGGACAAAAGTATAGTTCGTTCACCAGGAGTTGGCACTTGGCTCCACCTTCTCGGACAAAGAGTTCATTCCCGCGCGGGAGTAAGAGTACAAGCGTCTTCGCGCCTAAAATTGAGACAACCCTTAAGACGTCCCAAACGCTAACAGTGAATTCTTTTTCAGTCACTTATTTCGCTTTATCGTCAGCTATTATACCCTTCGTTACGCTAGCTAGCAAATTAAATATATTGCAGCAAAAGGTCTCAAAAAGGTCAAACTCAAAAGAAAGAAATATCAAATTTATTCAATGTTAAAAAAATGCACATTAAGATTGCGACATAGATATTTTAGTCATACGATAGCCACATAGTAACCTTGTTCGGTATTGTTCACATCCTTCTCCCAAAAATAGGGAAATAGTATCGTCAGATACCACGTGATGATGGCGAAGCCACGTGCCAACTCCTGGTGAAAGAACTATACATGGCTAAACATGGAACAATAAATGGTGTTTAAAATAACATTATAAAAATAATCTTTTTGCAGTATCTTACCTTTAACGTTTCTTGTTTACTTAATGCAATAATTTAGTCCTCGGCATTTGTTTTTAAATCTCACACAATTCTAATTTAATAATTATAACTGCTAACAAAATTAAAAAAGCATTTTTCATACAAATTTTCATTGGAAGTGTTAGCTATTAGACAAAACTTTTATTCAGTTTCATACTTATTTTAAACAATACTCTTTTGTTATTATCTATATAGCTTTTAAATCAATGTACCTTACCTTATTGTAAAGAAATCAAGTGAGTTAGGAAGATTGACGATAAATAGAGAAATTGTTTTTATCTCAAATTCTATTCCTACTTCAGTTTCTTTGCACATAAGTAATAATATCAAATCGTATTTTACTGTCCATTAAAAAAAAATAATAAACCTACTAGTAGTGATGAGCCAATCGATTCATTTAAATGAGTCAATTCTTTAGAATCGATTCACTAAAATGAACGGATTTATTAATCGATTATTTGATTCCTTTTTTTTTAATGTTCGCTATAATGGAAGAGTTGTTATAAGAAGAGGTCGTACAGATTAGTTTAGACTGTTTTAGTATATGAATTAGTTGATCTGGGTCAGCGGTTCCCAATATTTTTCGGCTGCGGAACCCTAAATAATTAACCTTCTTTCAGCGGAACCCCCGACTTTAATAAATAAAGTTTTTTAAGGTAATAGTGAACGTTATAGCCTAATAAAGACTATTTTAAAAATATTTAGCTAGAGGAAGGAAGAATTTTCCTCGTTTTGTCATTAATATCTGAAAGGGAAATTTCCAGTTCTTGTGCTATATTCAGTTTAATTAAGAATTCGTTTTTTTAGTGTTTAAGTTGAAACTAAATAATTTGAAATAAATAAGTTAAAATAAGCCGAATTATGGTTTACTTCGAAATGAAAATTTAGAAAAACTGCTACAAACGTTGAAAATGGTTATTAAGGAAACACATTTCTTTATTAAAAAAGACAATTATTTTGATCGGAAAACCGTGATGAGAAATATTAATGCAATATCTTATGAATGCCTGTCCTTTTCATAATATATTCATTATATTGTTATCAGAAATATTATATTTTCTTTCAAAAAATGCTATTTCTATTTTATTGGCATTTTCTCGGAATTAATCTCATAAAGGCAACCGAAATGCTAAATAAATTGTAGATTGTATCTAAATACAATCCGAGGTTTTGAAACTCATCACTGGCTATAAAGAGTACTAACTCGCGGAACCCATGTCACTCTTAACGGAACCCTAGGGTTCCACGGAGCACCATTTGGGAACCGCTTTTTTAGACCCTTGTACTCTAGGGTGCAGAAGCTGATTGTTCTGATTGGGTGTCTAGAAAAGTAATATCTGGTTTAAGCGCCGTAACTTTTCCACGGAACCATAGAGCTTTACGGGACACCAATTGGGAATCATTAATCCAGACCTTGGGCTCTAGGATGCAGAAGCAGAATGTTCCACTTGGGTGGTCCAGTCGAATGCTACTATAAAAGTACTGACTAGTGTAACCCCTATAATTCTTAACGGAACCCTAGGGTTCCGTGACAGGACCTGTAGCACGGGATGCCACAGGTCTTGGGTTCGATCCTCGGACCGGGCAAGGTTGCCTCAGCCTTTCATCAGTAGGTCGATAAATGAGTACCAAGCATGCTTGGGAACTAAACACTGGTGGTTCCGCGTTCGGCTGACCGGAACATATGCTCCTGCACCCCAGAGCCCAAGGTCAAGTAAACTGAGATGGGCATAGTAGGCTTGACTCCTATGGGCTGTCGCGCCACTGAGTTTAGTTTTAGAATATTTTTGATTGTGATTGTAATAAATGAATTGAGTGCAATTAATAATTGATTGTAATAAATATTTATTTTGCATTATAATG